CACTTGGGTTGTTACCGACATCTGGTGAAAATTTCATGTCATTAGCACCTCTAGTAATATATTTACTGAGAAAAATGGTGACGTGTTCAATACTTACTGTATTTTACCCGCTGTAAGTTTATAGCTTTGTCTGATAAGTTTGTCACAATGTGACATTAAACATTTAACATAATTAGGGGTCGACCGGTACATCGGCCGGCCGATATTTTTGGCCGATATTTGCGTTTTTTCCTTGTATCGGTATCGGCCGATACGTTCGTCCGATCCATTCTTTGGGTCACGCGAGCGCATGTTGCCGCCCCCTCCCTGGGAGAGAGCAGCTGGTAATGTTGTGAGACAAAGTGCCAACAACAAGGGTGAGTTATGAACTTTTAATGTGTTTTAACTGTCTAATTTTGCTGTTTCTGCCCTCTGTCTCAGACTGAGGGGGAGAGAGAACAGCTGTGTGAAGTTTCACTTTCGAACAGGAGCTCCATGTTTTACTTTCACTTTGGCATCGGACTGTAATTAGCGTGTCCACGATGTTTTTCTTTTAAAAAATGCTGGAACTGCTCAGAGGAGGCATAGAAGAACACCTCTATTCTTCTCCCTGCTGGTTAAAATTTAAAAAACTCTTTTCTCGCTGTTACATTCATAAGAGTGAGTAAAGAGCTGCCGTCCATATAAACATGTGAACAAGGCAGACGCTGCTCAGATCACGTTTGGTCTGACTGCAGTATAAAAGTCGTGATGCAGGTTTTCTTCAGTGTACATTTAAAACTGAGATCTAAAGTTAACGTCAGCTGGTTTAGATGCATTTTTTGCTCAGTGTAAAAAACAGGTGCAGATTGAGGCAGAGCTGCTGTGAGCACTGTGTGTGTGTGAAGTCCTCACAAAGATAGCAAGATATATGTGTGTGTCTCTCCTTTTTTCTGTGTCCCTCTTTAGGCATGTTGCTGTTTTTGCATCAAAAATGCTGGGATATTAAAACATTTTATTTTATGTAAAAATATATTAATCTGATTAACATACAAATAAAATAGAATATGTAGCACTAGATAAAATAAATCTTTATTTTTTAAAGAAATGGCTGAAAAAATAAATTTTGTGTGGCAGCACTTCACTCAGCCTGCACCAGACAGTTAATAAATGTTTCCTTTTTGTTTAAACTGAGACCTGTGTAACATTTGTTATCATTCTTATTTTTATCAAATTAATGGAGGAAGAAAAAGCAGAATCAGCTTCAAAAATCGGCTGCAAGTATCGGTGTATCGGTTAGACCAGTGTTTCCCAAAGTTAGGGTCGGGACCCAAAGTGGCGTCCCAAAACATCAAGGTGGGGTCCTGAAAAGATTTTCTCAATCAATTACATTTTTGCCTTAGTTGTTTCAAATGAGTGAGGTTAGTATATTTAAAATAGATAAATGTAGTATAAAAAATATTGTTACTATGCCCATGTTTTGTTGACCTGATACAAATGTTTATCGTCCAAAAATAGTTGGGGGCACAGGTCTCTGCTACTGTTTTGTACTATTTTGTGGGTCAAAAGCTGATAAGTTTGGGAACCACTACACTTTGGTTCCCAAAGTTGGGCTTGGGACCCAATTATGGGTCATGAAACACCTTGGATAATCTCCAGAAATCAATTTAAAAGGTAATAAAATAATTGTTGATGTAATATTTCCCTATAATTGTTACAAAAACACAAAATAAGTATAAATATGTATTTATATTTGTGTATAAGCTGTTTAGATTGTCAAACAGCCTGTGATTTTAGGGTTGGTAACGAAGTTCATGTACTCAGACCAGTAATATTTGGGGTCACAAGTTTTTGCCATGGATATTTTGAGAGTCCGAAGATAAAAAAGTTTGGGAACCACTGGGTTACTGATGTCAAAATAATCTGTATCAGCCTTCAAAAACCAAGTTCAGTCAATCTCTATTGAATTTAACAATAAGCAGGTTAATTTTTTACAGTTCTGAAATGGGTTGTGCTGTTTTTAGTTTCTTAATCAGCTTGAATCAGTCTTGACTGAAACCAGAGCCAGGCTCAACGGTCCTACTGGGAAAAGGAACATGTCAAATCTGCCATCTGTTTTTAGAAAATGCCACAGAGGCTTCATCTCTGCAGGCTCCTGGACTCTGCCACACAAATAAAAGCAAAAAGGCCATGAGTGGGCAGTGCTCACCTGTGTCGACTTCTCTTTCATACAAGATGTGCGATGAACATGAGAGTCACGAGGCCACGGCCCTGTGGGGGTACGGACCACTGACGGTGCCCAAAGGAGACCACTTACCCCCCCAAGCTCCACACCAGGTGTGACTCTGCCCTTTCAACTGCACAGATAATAAAAGATAAAAGCAGCATTAGCTCAGGATAGCAGAAAATAAATGTTTCTTAAATAGTAAAATTCTGTTGAACTTTTTCTTATACCTTATAGCTATTTTGCTTTTCTTGTTGATTTCAAACTTTAGACCCAAACAATATCATCTTTACATTGACACTGATATATAACATTGTTGAGCAGCAGTGTGAAAGCTTTCTGTCTCTCACTCTGCAGTTTAATCCACCCTTAATATGGGACATCTTAAGGCTCCTCTCCACACTCTGAACCCCAGAAACTGAAGTACAGAAGAATCAAACTGACTGAGGCCTTTCTGTGTGAAGTTTGCATGTTCTCGCTATACATGCATGGCTTTTCTCCAGGTACTCCAGTAAGTAGGGAGTAGGTAAAAAGGTAAATTGTTCCTAGGTGTGAATCATTGTTTTCTTTTCAGACCTTTTAGCTAGAAAAAGGATGGATGGACAGTTTGTATTCTGTTCATTGTAGTTCTTTAAGAAAAAGGGGTATCGACAGGTCAGAGATAAACAAACACTGAAAATCAATACTGACCCACATGAAGAATTAGTGGATTTCTAGCTGCCACCATAGATATTCAGTCAGCAGTGCGTGCATGAAAACATTTGGTAGTTTTTAGTGCTTTACACCATTATAAAGTTGATTGCACACAGTGTATAGTAGATGATCCATCTCAATATGTATAGATTGTCTGTAAATTAAAAAGATTTTCTACCATTTTGCATGCATATAGATGTATAAAGAAAATGCCACAGATTTTTTTCCAAAACTCAACTTCAGATTTATTTTACATCACTGGCTGTTTGTAAGGAAATACAGCGGGTAAAATAAGTATTGAACACGTCACCATTTTTTCTCAGTAAATATATTACTAGAGGTGCTAATGACATGAAAATTTCACCAGATGTTGGTAACAACCCAAGTGATCCATAC